TGTTCACAGTTAAAGTCTCTGATCACCGGGTGCCATGCCAGGGAGCACAAGGCTGTCGGTGTTACAGAACACTCAGAAACTGCAGGGTTGTCTGAAAACAACAGATTGTAGATCCACTATTTCCCCCATAATCTGTCAATGAATCATAAGCACAATTCATCCAAACCACTGTGCGGGAAGCGATTCATGATTTGTGGTTCTCCTCCCTCACTCTCAGGTCTAAGTCCCACCACTTCTTCCTGTGCAACATCTCCCAGGTTGGACCTTTTCACTCTGCCCACACTGCCAAATTCTGGAACACCCCACGTCTTCACCTTGTCCCTGACCCCAACACTCCCCCTTCCCTGCCATGAAACCAAAGCAAAATACCACGGACACCATCTCACTGCTCAGACTGCATTGTCGGTCACTTTACAGCCCTCTATTGGCTGCCCTTTTCCAAAGCTTCAGATGATGAACCTTTTGCAGTCAAGGATTTAAAAAACCAGACTGTGGTGCTGAAATGTGGGTCCCACTGAACTCAATCAAACTCAAACAATTGACTTCACGGGGTCAAGGATCTGCCTGGAGTTATTCCCTCTCTCCTAAACAGCCAGTAGAATATCTAATCACCATACATCTGTGCAGGAGTGGAAGGATGTTTGGCTGTTTGTCTCCTGCGCCTTCCCTTTACTCTTCAAATGCAGTTACAGGTTTCAGGTAAGATTCAAAATCTTCAAAGTCAAAGGAAGCAAGTAGAACACACCACATCCTTCAGCCAGTCAGTGCCCTTAAAGTATTTCTGGCAGAGACATACAGTAACTAGACTGGCCTGTACTATTGCTAGTCTATCTGGGTATGTCTACACTAGCTCGTTAGTTCGAGATAGGTAGGCAAATCGTGGAATGAGGAGTACTGGTAGTTCGAATTAGGATCTCTAATTCGAATACAGAGTTCAGACTAAGGGGGATGTAAAAATGGCGGCGCCCGGGAACATGCAAATGAAGCCCGGGATATTTAAATCCTGGGCTTCATTTGCAACTCCGGTTGCCCTCATTTGCCTACCTACCTCAAACTAACGAGCTAGTGTAGACATACCCTCTTATGCCAGAGACCCAAACGGACATAGCCAATACGGGCGTGTATATGCAGGATTCTATTGTAGAGTACACATTAAGAACTTTTGAAATTCCCACCCATAGGAATTTCAAAAGTGCCTAATGTTTACTCTACAATAGAATACATTTCTGATGGCAGAGCCATGTGAGTTGGGATTGTGATATTTCATCAACAGAGTTATTCTGACAAAAGCCCAACTATAGACACAGTTATACTGGAAATCTTGTACGTACACGCCCGTATCGGCTATGTCAGTTTGAGACTCTGGCAGTCCCACCCATAGGAATTTCAAAAGTGCCTAATGTTTACTCTACAATAGAATACATTTCTGATGGCAGAGCCATGTGAGTTGGGATTGTGATATTTCATCAACAGAGTTATTCTGACAAAAGCCCAACTATAGACACAGTTATACTGGAAATCTTGTACGTACACGCCCGTATCGGCTATGTCAGTTTGAGACTCTGGCAGGCCAGTATAGCAGTATCCACACCAGTGTTTCCAGTAAGCTGTGTGATAGGTTTGGCTACACAGGAGAGATTCAGATGCCACCAAGTTGATTAGCAGAGTGCACAGAGCACCCTCAGCCAGCAGGATGTCTTTCTAATGGTTGTGCACATGTGAACATTACATTGGTGAATATAACAAAATTTATTCTGCACATGGACAGAAAAAATGAGAGAGAACATTGGCCCACAGTAGAAGTGTTTTGTTGGTAGAGCTGTACTGGGAAAATCTTCTTAGTATAGACAAGACTTAAATTATCTATATGCACAAAAACAGTGACACCATTAGCTAACTAGGTTTCATGGAGATTTCTGTTTGTAAGTTTGTTTTAAATAGATGCTGTATTTAATCTGATCAGGAGGTTGTTGTCTTTTGTTCTGTCGCTGCTCAGTGTGTGGTTTTTGATGGTCACTGACCTGATATAAAACATAATGTTGATTCCTTTTTGGTAGAGCTGTACTGGGAAAATCTTCTTAGTATAGACAAGACTTAAATTATCTATATGCACAAAAACAGTGACACCATTAGCTAACTAGGTTTCATGGAGATTTCTGTTTGTAAGTTTGTTTTAAATAGATGCTGTATTTAATCTGATCAGGAGGTTGTTGTCTTTTGTTCTGTCGCTGCTCAGTGTGTGGTTTTTGATGGTCACTGACCTGATATAAAACATAATGTTGATTCCTTTTTTTGGCTGAGGCGGGTGTTCCTGACCAAGCAGGACAAGTTCCGACTTGAATTTTCCATTATAATGGCAGAAGTTTGTGTTTCATACAGTCCATTGGCTTCACGGGAATTTGTGTGAGAGGCTGAAGGAAAAGCCTGTCCACTGAGGTCTCTCCATATCACCTCGGGCTCCGGGTACCACCCAGGCGACCGACATACCACTCGGATCCCTCCATCCTGGTAATCCTCAATCGACAGATGAGGAGCAGAGCCTGAAGCTAGAGACAAATGTGGAAATCAGTGTTGATTTGAGCACATATTGAGCCTAGAGAAGAATAAGAAATTAAACTTCCCCTATTCTCAAATGATTATGGACTCAGAGAAGCAAATGAACAAGCAACTAATTATTTCATGGAGGGGATGAAAAGCTTTCTCTGCAGTATTGTTCCCTCCTAAGACCCACACAGATGTGCCATTTTGGGGACTATAGAAAACCCTTTAATTGAGCATTTAATTTAACACAGGATCTGAAAAATAATGGAGAGAAATAATCCTTGTATTTCAAATGTGCCTCAAGGTGAAATGTCACCTTTTGGATTATGGAAGCTCTTCTACTTGGCCCTGCAAATGCAGAACTAAAGCAGAAGGGGAGAAATATCTGGACACCTACTTGAGCATGATCATCTTCATGATGGACTCTCCTCTCCCCATGCTTTAGAAAATGGAATTTTGGACACAGATATGACTAACTCAAAGGTGCTTTGGACAAATTAGCTCATGTAACTGGAAGGCACCTTAAGAGGTCATCGAGTCCAGTCCCCTGCCCTCATGGTAGGACCAAGCACCAGATCATCCCTGACAGGTGTCTGTATGAGCTGCTCTTCAATATCTCCAGAGATGGAGAGTCCACAACCCTCCTAGGCAATTTATTCCAGTGTTTAATCACCCTGAGAGGCAGGAAGTTTTTCCTAATGTCCAACCTAAACCTCCCTGGCTGCAATGTCATGTCATAATGTTGGATATGTTTATCTTATTTTGGTGACTGTATCGTTCTTGTGTGTGAAATTAGCCATATGGGACATGCAATGGCGTTATGGTTTCAATCTGCCATCCAGACTGTTTCCAATGCTAAGATGTCTTAATTTTTTAAATTAATCATATGCAAACAGACTTTTGTCTGTAAGTCTTCTAAGTGGTTGGTCTTAGGAAGACACATGACCGCCCTAACTGGCCTTGGCTGGGGGAGACCAGGGAACTGGCCCAGCAGGACCGGGCGGTGAGGAGTCTCAGAGAGCGGGAAGGCAAATGGCAGTGGCCATGTCAGTACCCCGGAGAAACCCCCAAGGGGTCGTCTGTGACCTTCACCCCGTCACAATCTTCAGTTGCCCGACTGATGACAATCAGTAGAGAACTGCCCACCATGGGACGAATTCGTCCTCCTCCAAGTTGTTGTGTTCTCCAGATAGCAAGGGACCCTCAGAAGGTGATTCCAGAGCATCCCAGGGCAGTAAGTCATGTGGTTCTCTTTTTCAGATTAGGGATGTCAGCGACTAGTCAACTAGTTAACTAACCAATAAGCAGAAGCTTACCAGTTAGCTCTATTGACTAGTCCCGCCTCCCCATTCCTCCTGGGATCACTTTCCCTGCTGCCGCTTCACACGGAAGGGGGCCAGAGGAGCTGGCGTGTGAATATCAAACTTCAGAGACTTCAGTAGAAGGCCTTGTCTTGCCCTCTGGGAAAGGGCCAGGGGAGCCGGCACGTGAAGATCAAACTTCAGAGACTTCAGTGAAGGGCCTTGTCCTGCCCTCTACTCCCCCCACTGCCTCTCGCTCCCTGGCCACTTCCCCTCTGGCCCTTTGCACCTCCTGGCCATGTAACAAGGCCACCGCTGGGCAGGGACCAGGCTGGAGCCTCCCTCTCTAGCCCCCTGGGCCTGCCCAGCCCTGCTCTACTGACGGTGCCTCCTCTGAGGGAGCCAGGCCCTGCACCCTCCTTGGCCAGGGCCTCACTGACTCTCTGCAGGCAGCTCTCTCTATAGGGCTGTCCCAGCAAGCTGCACCCTGCTCGGCTCTTTCAAACCCCTCCCCAATTGGCCAGGGCTCTGCCCAGGCCCCCTCCAGCCTGCATTGACCCTTCCCAGCCAGAGTGGGGCCGTCGCCCCCCCACAGAGGAATTTGCATATTGGCCAATTATCTCGGGAAACGAAAAGCCATTCCTGGGCATTAGATTTAACCACGTGACCATGGGAAATCGGGTTTTGTGTCCCTGTTTGGGTCTATTTACCACACCCGGGAAGAAGGTGTCATAATCCAGGGGCACCTTCTCCGCTTGCCTCCACATTTGGTACAAGTAAATGAGCCACCTTGGGAACAGACCATGGGTAAAATGCTCAAATCTTTCAACTCACTCGGCGCCATCCCCGAGAGACGTACAGACACACGCTACTGACCTGACACCTGCAGTTCCAGGATGGCTTCTTCAAAAGAATTACCATCTTGAACAAAGCAGCTGTACCGCCCTTCATCTGAGACTCTGACATGGAGAATTTTCAAAGTAACATTCCCCTGGGTCAGACCACCTTTCAAGAGCTGTGTCCTCCGCTGGTATTCTGGCATTTGCTCTCCATACTGGTCCTTTCCATCGCTATAGCGATGGACAAATGGGAAGAGCTTGGACCGGAACCAAGTCATCTCCATGTTCTCAGCGCTCATCCTGGGGGCCAGGTGACAGGGTAACATGATGTCCTCCCCCACCACGGCCGTGACAGGCCGGTCAGGTCCCACCAATGTAAATTGTGCTGTGGAATGTCCCAGGAGAGAAGGGAGAAAAGCTCAGAGAGAAGATCTTGTACATTCAGTCAGTGGCACACACAAAACCAGTCCTATTTGCTGTAGTTTGTATTCCCTGGAGCTACTGGGAGGAGAGCTGGCACAAGGAGATGCCACCAGCCAATGTGCCTTGCAGGTGAGACTGGAGGAGGACCCCAGCTGAGGGAGCTAATACTGGAGAGAAGATTCCTGCCACCTGGAGCCTGAGGGCACGTGGCCACCGCCAGAGCAAGTGTCCGACCCCCGGCATCCCTGTGGCACAGTCAGGGGCAGGCTGACGGGATTTCCTTTAACATTCCCCATTTTTTACTTATTCTTTTGTTACTGGATTGCTGCTTAATAACGGATCTTTGCTCTGAGCTGTACACATGGCTCAGTGAGTCAGGGAAGTGCCCAGTGCGGAGACAGCGCCCGGAGTGAGGACAACTCAGTCCCCACATTAGACTTAGTCCCGCAGGAACTCTGGGCCCAGCCTTGCTGGGTTCCAAGGACTCTGCCACACGGGAAAGTGGAAGTGGAGCCCTCGAGGTCAGGGAGGCCGCTGGGGCTGGGTCTGCCCTGCCAGGTGATTTCCAAATAATAATTTATTCCCCAATTAACTATTTTCAAATAAACCTTTTCCTCTTCCCAAGCAGGCGTTGTTGTTTCGAAATAACAGGCTTCATCGTGTGGACATTCACCTTGGTATTTCAAAATAAGGGGAGTTTTTTAACTCCCCAGTGTAAACAGGCCCTGGGTAAAGACGTGGGAGTGAGGACTCAGATCCTGTCACTAGCCCATCTAACCGGGGTAGTACAGAAGCCAGGAGAGTTCCCACAGTAGCAGGACCATCCCCCGACTCACACTGAGCTTGCTGTGTTATGTTTACACGCTGTGGGTATGTCTACCCCGCATGCTTCATTCAAAATAGTACATGTACGCTGCAGAAAAGCCTCAAAACTAGTCCAAGGCAGGCTCCCCTCATGTAGATGTGCTATCTCAATTTAGAGCCCCAGGAGACACTGGGGAGGAATAACTTAGAACGGCCCTGGGGAGGGGCTATTACGAAAAAACAGCAGTGGAGCATCTACACGTGCCTTATTTCGAAATAGCTATTGCAGAAGAGGCATTATTCCTCATGGAATGAGAGTTACAGATTTCAGAATAAGCCGCCCGTTATTTTGAAATATAGGAATGGCTGTGCAGATGCCCACATTGTTATTTCAAAATAACGGTGCAGTGTAGATGCACCCAGTGAGAAGTTCCATTGACTCCGAGTTGTGCATCTTGTTAAGAGACTTCAGGACTTAAATAAACCCTCTAAGAAACAGCAGACCCAGCGCAGAGTCCTACCTGATTCCATGCTGAGAACATAACAAGTCAGGAAGAAAACAAGAAATCCAGGCAGAGGGGAGCTGGCTCTGATGCCCTGGCAGATGGAGGGAACCTTCATCTTCTCTGAAACTTCATCTGGACAACAGGAAGGAGAAAACAAAAACTGACCACAGTGAGCAGGACACTGACTAGCAGTAAGGCCAAGTCTAGACTGGCAAGTCACTGTGCAGTAAATCAGCCCCCAGCGCTGTGACGTTCAAGGTGTCCACACAGGCAAGGCACTTACCCCTGGCCTGCACTAGGGCTTCATTTCAAAATAACCCCCCTTAGGCTGAATTTATAGGTGAAGCATCCACCCTACATATCCCTTATTTCAAAATAACGGGCCGCTTATT